AACCCAGTTGACCATCCTCAACAATTCATCAGTATTACGATCGTAATTTGAAAAAGTTATGACGCGTGCTTCCTGATTTTGTAATTTTTGTAACTTTTGAGAAAAAGTTTTAGAACAGGATCCCCGCACCGAACTGCAGTAATCGAGATGAGGTTGGACTAATGAATTGTAAACGGAAAGTAAAGTCTTATATGGGACCGAATACCTAATACGTTTAATGGCGCTAATGCCAGAAGCAATCTTTTTGGCAAGCTCATTGATATGACACTCCCAAGTAAGATTTTCATCAATGTGTACACCTAAGGATTTAACAGTCGAGACTCGTTTTATCAGAAACTGGTTGATATTAGCAGTAGGATTCACTGTAAAATTTGAAAGCCTTTGCTTTAATGCCAACAAGCTGGCTCAAAATTACTTTCACACCATCCAGACACCAAATAGATTTGAAAACAGAAATATCACACCCTATAATCTAAAAATATTCATAAGAATATTTCAGCCAAAAGTCGGCAGAAAAATAAGCATATTCAGCCCCGGCCAGAAAAAAAAAAATGTTCTTGTAAAAAAGAGTGTAACTCCCCATCGAAACAACAACTTAAACTTTCGACTTGCACGTGATCAGGCAGTGCTTCTTGAAACCGCGGCAAATTTGTGAGCCACGCGGCCTCAAGCAAATAATTTCTTTGCAGTTTGTTTCATTTTGAGTTGGAACAAGAGAATATGGTTGGAAAGTATAACAAAACACTTAATAACTAGCCCCACCGGGAACAGTGAGTTTCATTTAAGCTTCCGGGATAACAGAACTGCTTCCCTTGGGGCCGATCATTACGTACTTAAAATAAAATATCAATTAAAGAAAAAACATAAGTAATTAACAGGCTGGCTCTAAAGCTGCTTTAACACCATCCAAACGTTAACACCAAATACATTCGAAAACAGAAAATCTGGTCTATAATGTAAAAATATTCACAAGAATATTTTCAGCCTAAAAGCGGCAAAAATGAAATTATTTAGCCTCGGTCGGAGAAAGAATATTCTTAGAAAAAAGAAGTTAAATAAGCAACTTTACTAAGCTGTCACATTTTCCCGTCCGGCCCTCCCACCCAGTCAATAAGTACATATTACTAACCTTTCATAGCCTGGACAAGTTCAAACGTAAGGCTGACCAAAAAAAAAACCATCAAATGCTGANTTTATTTCATCAACGTCACTACCAGCAAAAGTAATACTAGTGTCATCGGCGTACATCCTTGGTTGGGAATGCTGGAGGCAATTAGGCAAATCATTTATACATGTATACAATAGAAATAAAAGGGGCCCAAGAATCGTTCCCTGTGGAACACCACAGCGAAGGAACATTTTGGACGATTTATTCCCGTTTACAAGACACGTTTGGGTTCGGTTTTTTAAATAAGAGCAGAACCATTGATTTGTGGAACCCTGAATACCATAAGCTTGTAATTTTGAGAGAAGAATAGAGTGATCCACAGTATTGAAAGCCTTCTTAAGATTGACCTGATCAATTAATTCCAAGACAATTGCAAATGGCAAGTGCATTTCTACTTGGATATTTCAGTTGGAAATTTTGGACTGCCTTTCAAGGTGTTCCATTTATTTACAAAATTTCCTGTTCAGTTGAGCTAAAATTGTCTTACCATTTGGGGTAAATGGTAATAAACAACTATTGTTATCATGCCTTGGAGTTGAAGATTTGTCTCTTGGCGGCTACATGGTATGGAGTCATTCTTGGTCGAGCAACCCAACAGTTAAATTCACTGTTGAAAAACCAGACCAACCTAGATGAAAAATTTTATTTATTTTTAATTTCAGGATCCTAAACTGAGGCGGTTGGCATATACAGCAATTGGAAAACTAGCAAAGTAAGTTGAATTAAGACAGGGGCCTCCACCATTGAGTTAACATGTAATAATAAGGTGCATAATTGAATGACAAGCCACTTTTTTAGTAATTATAATCAATAAGCGCTTAATGACTGGCCCCAAGGGAAACAGTGAGTTTTATTTCCTTGACACCCTCCATCAAGGTTGAGGGGAAACAAAACTCTCTGTTTCCCAAGGGGCAAGTCATTAAGTGTTTTGTTATACCTCCCAACTCAAAAGTGTCTAAAAACTGCAAAGAAATTGTTTGCTTTATGCTAGCTGGCTCAAAAATTTGCCATGGTTTCAAGAAGCACGACCTGATCACGTGCAAGTTTAAAGTTCAAGTTGTTGTTTCCCAAGGGAGTTAGTGAGTTTTGTGCGCCCTAGGGAGTTAGTGAATTTTGACCCACGACATGTGACACGTTTTCCTCCAATCGGAAAACGTATTTGAGTTGGAAGGTATAACAAAACTACTTGAATGTATGTGTTATCATATTTTATGTTGTTGTCGTGCCTGTATTTACATTTTTTTAACATTCTTAGACGACTTCCTCAACTATTTGCCAAAGATGTTGCACTAATTCAAAGACTCTTCCAAGCTCTCTGCCAGGTGGGTACATAATGGCTAGCAACTCTGATTAGAAATTGGAAAAATGATTGCTCCTCAGGAGGGAACCATGCAGGCTTCTCTTGGTTATCCCAGAAACTAGTCGACCTGAAGGGTTGAGGTGAATTCCACCATTTACCGGTTATTTGAAATAAATGTTCTATTTGAAATGCCCTTTCACACCTTTCTCAGATTTTTTGGGGAGGTGTGTAGTTTCCTGATAATTCTCATTGACATACATAATTTGACTGACTAATGCTTTGGAGCTCTGAAAAAGACCCATGCCAGTCTTAGCAGTCCTGCCATGTCCAAGTATGATTTGTACAAAGAAAAGCTCTTCATCAATTATGAATTTAGTGTTGGCAATTGAGTCTTGATGACTCGTTTGATGGACTAACATCCCATTGGCTTGGCAGTGGCAATGATTTTGGTTGCTTCATTTTAGAGTGGCAAAGATATCTAAACACCAAGAGCCCCTCTGACCCTCTAGGCTTTACAATTAACTTAGTTTGTACTGCGACATTCTGAAATTGTTTCAGGAAGAATCTGATACCCGTTTATCAGTCCAGGAGGCTCTCTCCATGATGGCTCCATCATACAGAAAGGCAGACGCAGCTATTCTAGCCTTGATAGAGTCTCTTATACTCAACTATGTACAACAGGTAATTTTTTT